TTGTGTAGCAAAAGAAGATATTTATTTTCTAAATCCATTGGTTCGTGAATATTTTACACTTTTTTTTCATCTGAGTATAAATCCGTGATTAAAAAAAATGCGAGGAACACATCCCTGAAAACTAAGCCAACTTCGAAATTTTATAGAATTTGAGCCAAAAGCAAGAGAAACAAAACAAAGCTTGAAAGATTAGTGTGATCGAAATCCGAACGTGAAAAAAGAACCACAACTAAACTCGAATCTAGCCAAATCAACATCGTCAACAAAAAAACCTAACTCTTGGACAATCTAACGCGAAAGTAAACCAAAGAGGATCCTAATAACGATTAGCGGATTTTCTAAACTTGAGAATCCCAAACTACGATCGGGATTGATAGCCATACGATCTACGGATCGGTAGCGATACGATCCATGATAGATAGCATACCGATCCATAAATCAGTATATCCACAATCGCGCAGTGATTGAGTGGAGATTTTACTCGCAGATCGGTATACAATCCATGATCGAGCATTGATCAAGTGAAAATTTGCTGGATATAGGAGACTACATACAAATCTTAAAAATTGTTATAGGATTCGCTCTTGGAGCTCTCTTCGTAATTTTAATCAATTTTGTATGATTGTAAAATCAAATAAAAGTATATATTTAATTAGTACACGACACGTAGATATTTGTAAAATCACTCTAATCGTGATCAATATTTATTAATTTTTTCTCTCTCTTTTACTATTTTTTTATGACGTCATGTTAACAAATTTGGCACGTATCAAACAAAATTAAGCAATAAATCTAATCGGATAAGGTCTAACAGAGTTGGTAAACTGAACCGAACAAAACCAAAATCTATCCGAACGACTACTAATTCATCCTCACTCAAGTAAATGGGAAGTGAGATAAGGTAAAGAAAAAGAGAGAGAAAGACCGAAGAGAAAATATCCACAGAAATTAAAAGAAAAATTTCCCTGCGTCCGGATTATACTAAGAGAGATCATTCAACATAACTTTCTCGTCCGATAATCCAAGGAAAAGAGAAAATCTTCTTTGTCCGTCAATATGCTTATTTTCCTTCTCTAGGTAAAGATCCTTAATAATCTAACATGCCAATCGAAGAGCTCCACACTCTCTTTCCACATATTTATATTTGCTTTCAACATTCTCACTGAATAACATATTGAGTTTGAGACTGCTTCCGCTAATATTATAACTTGATCCAATTCATTCTCCTAGATTTTTTTTCTTTCAAATCGCTTTGACC